CATCTCTTTCTGTCCACTAGGCCAGCAGATGTTGTTGTTAAGTGCATGGAGTTGTAGGTGACTCAGCACTGTCAGATCTGTCTCCTACGAGCTGGTTTATACTACAACTCTTGCTCTTCACTCTGCCCCCGTCTCTGAGACTGACTTCAGGCTACAAACCCGGCTTGAGCTAACACCTTCCTTCTTCATTTTAAAATATGGCTCGCCGTAGCACCAGTGCTTTCTTTGCACTTTTTTAAATGTGGCTCGAGTTAACACTCTTCGTATTTTTTTTTTTAAATAATTGTGATCTGAGTGAACGCTGACCAAGCCTACCGGGTTTTTCACGCAATCATTTATATCCATTTTTAATGGTATCACACTATCCACCGTGCACTCAGTCTTCCCACCTCCTGTCATTCTCATCCCAACCCCTCCTGCGAGCCTCTCCTCTCTGCCTCATGAGCTCTGTCCCTGGCAGACGCTGCTGTGTGGTTGGTTATCTCAGGAGGGCCTCTTCCCGGTGTTACCGGTCACCTGGCCTCACTCTCCTCATTGTCTTCCAGCTCAGCTTTCAGAGGTTCTACACGGCACAGGAGGCAACTGTCCGTCTTTCTTCTGTGGAGTCGCCGGGGGATCAGAACCTTCAAAGAACGCCACCCCTGGGGCAGCAGGGCAACTCGCTATGCCGAGGCCACCAGAGCTCCCTACAGACCTGACTGCGGCTTGCCTGCAGGTTGAGCCCTGGGGTGAGTTGTGCTACAGCCCCCATTCCGCCTGTGAAGCGGCCTGCTGTTGGGGGGATGCCTTCTCGGCAGGCAGCGAGCAAGTCAGTGAGATCTCAGTGTGCGCGACGTCAGCAGCAGAAAGGAGCGAGCTCTCGAGAGGACAGGAAGGTTTTATTCAGTGTATGCACAGGGTCACGCCACAGGGCGCCGGTCTGTTGGCTACAACACGTAAGATAGTAGAAAAATTCATTTGTAAAGCCGAAAAGTCAAGCAAAGCTTCTATAAAATGGGGAGAATGGACCAAAAAGTTAACGTTTCCACTGCAAATTTCTTATGATAAAATTCTTCCCTTTCAGAATTAAATACATCAAGGAACACTGTCAAATTCTATTTACAGCCATTTAAAACGGGCATCACCAACATATTTAAGTTAAAAAAAACTTCACCATTTTTGCTTGTTTTCTTCCAAAAGCATGTTTAAATACGACTTTAGTTTTTTAAAAAATACAATCAGGAAATAATTACATTCTTGATATGAAAACATTTTACAACTCATAGCCATGGCCAGTTGGTTCTACATAGCTATTATTAAAAACTGAATGCAAAAGTTTAAAGTTAATATTTCCCTTCTTGCTACAAAGTCAAATGAAAAATTCTTATTAGAAACACTTTGGTCCCTAAGAATGATGTGGAGTTTAAAAAATATCTCCCATGGTAACAAATAAACCAGATGGCACGTGTACACAGTGAGGTTGAGCCTTCCCAAAAGCTCCGACTGAAAATCTCCAGGGGAAAAAGGCAAAAAGATGCAGCTGCCCACAGCCTGGGTGTGACGTACTCCTTCCTTGAAGTGAGAGCCCTTCCTCGGCCTGAGGGGCTGGGACAGCCAGTCTACACCTTTTTCAAAGCTTGTCACAGGATATAGAGAGCACCAGCCCTACATGTCACTTCTTTCACAGTATGAGGTCAGCTCATCGCAGGACAAACGTTAGGCCACAGTAACAAGAGACAACAGGCTGGCTTGCTTCAGAAGTACGCCCTGAATCGGAATTGAGGTTTTTCCCTTTAAAAACTTGTTTTAGAATAAAGAAATATGATACTAGTTGGACATTTCCAAGTCACCATGGTCGTTACGAAGCCTCAGAGGCACAAGCTTTGCTGGCTGGGATGCAGCAGGGACCCCTGGACGAGGCTGTTCCTAATGACTTGAGCACCCTGTGCAGGTGTCCTGGTGACAGAGCAGCACCGCATTGTCCCACTTTCAGGAAGGTGGGGGTCCTGGACAGGCTCCTGGCCCTGAGACTCGGTGAGCACCTGGAGCACTGCTGGCGAGCAAGGGCTCTGAATGACCAGTGGGCAGTGACTCTCTCACACAGTGTCAGCTGACTTAGTGTTCATTTCTGGGATGAGGCTACCAGACCTCACACCCATTAGTGTGGCTACCCCAGCATCAGAGTCGTGCCACTGGAAACCAGACCACGAATTACAGATGTGGCCAGTGCCGGGCATGGTCTGGCCACCGCTGGACATGGTCGTGGGTTTTCAGAAACAGCCGTCAGTGACTGAGGAAGCGGTTGGACTTGCAGCACTGAGGTGGGTGGGTAGAGGTGACCACATCGGTTTTACACCAGCTGGGCAGTCACCAGAGCCACTGTGTGGACAGACCCTGGGGTCCTGGGATGTCACTCAGACCCACATGGGTGACTCTACAGGAAGCAGAACCCTGGAGGTAGAGGGCATGCGTGTGGTCCAGGGGCTAACCTCTGGCTAAGCCTCTCCTCCCGGAGGCCACGCTGACCACTGACCAGACTGCTGGTTTCTATACAGGATGCTGGTGAGTGAAGGGGTAGAAGGAGAAACCAGGATCGGAGGGGACTCTGAAGGGGGTGACATTCGACCTAAATGTAGCCAGGACAGGGCAAGGATGGTCATAGCAGCCTCCAGCTGTGACAAGAGTGACCTGTCCGGACCAGCCCAATCGGACTGCTCATGCAGAGTGAGTTCTGAAGCTGTGACCACACAGCAAAGGCAGCCATCTGGATGGGTCCTGGGTCACATGTGATGGAGGCTGAAGATGCCCGCAGCCTGCCCCAGCCAAGGGGGCACCTCCCATCGGCCAGTGGTAAAGGGAGGGTAATAAGGGGACGCTGAGAATTTGGACAAGGTGCCTATGCATGCTAGTATGTACAAATATAAATTAAAACTCTATTTCTTGAACATATACAAATAAATAACTTATTTTGAAGCAAATGCTTGAACTAACTTTCCGGCCTGATCTAAGAAGTTAGAGGCCGTGGTGGCTGTGGGGAGGGGCCTGCATGTGCCCACCTGCTCAGCCTTTCTGCCGCCCACACGGCCTGCATGTTCCTGTTCTGAGAAGTGCACACTTAGGAGAATTACTGAAAAATCTGTGTTTAAAAAAGCCCCACGGAGCACAGGGCTGTCATCGGCCCAGCTGCGCTGTGAGCTTGGCAGCAGGCCTGCTACAGGTCGCAGCCCCCTCACTTGCAACAGGCAGAGAGGGTCTGGCCCCTCATCAGGGCTGGTCAGGGCCAAGGTGACAGTGGCCATCAGATCTGGGCCTTGTTCCCCTGGGCACACGGGCAGCGAGATCCACGGCCCAACGACCTGTACCTGGGCACCTCTACTTGTCCTGGAGGTGGCAGGCTGACCCCTAAATGTCAGCAGGCCCCGTCTACTCATGAAGAGAGGGACAGCTATGGGGGGGCAGTACCAGGGGTGGTGGCACTGTCCCCCCCTCAGGAAACAGCCACCACGTAACCCAGGGTCAGCTGTGTCCAGGGGAACAGATGAGGAGAGTGGACAAGGCTCTCGGACAAAGGCCAGATGCCTTCTGGAAGCTCCCGCCCTAGCTGAGCTCGTCCACGGGAGGGAAGACCCCGGGCTGGGGAAAGTGTCATGTTCTAGGCTTGAGAGGGGCTGCTGGCAAATGTCCTTCAGTTCCAATCTTAGGGTTTGAAGAGAAGGACATGTGGTTCTGGTCTCTCAGGAAACAAGGGGGTGAGCAGGAGGAGACTGGGGCTCCCTGAAGCTCAGTGCTGGGACCAGCAGAGCCTCCCAGACAGGAGGCCACGTGACCCCACGACAGAGGAGCCTGGCTGGTCCCCAAGAACCACAGCTTCTTCCTGCTCTGCCAGAGAGGAACCCAAGACCCACAGAGGATGCCCGATCCCCCACATTGGGACATGAGATTAAAAACCCCACAAACCATAAGAGTGGAATCTGGCCCACTGTCACTGTGGTCTCAGCGGAATGCCTGCTGCAGGCCACAGTGAAGAGGGCCACAGGGGTGAGGGGTGCACTGGGGACCCAGAGACCCGAGTGGAGGAGGAGATGGGAATGAGAACATCCTAAAAGGTGAGGGTGTCCTAACTCCCAACACCTAACACCTGCCTTCTCTTCCAGGGAGCTGGGCCCCGTGGACACGGGGGCGCCTGGACTGACCCCCACAGTCGGCGGCCCTGCAGACACGAAGGGGCCTGTAGTGACCTTCACCCTCAAAGGCCCTGAGGAAGTGAGGGAGTTTGTACTGACCCCTGTCCCCTGGGGCCTGTACTGACCCTCATCTCCCAGGCCTTGTGGAAGGGAAGGGCCTGCATTAACTTGGGGGAGCCCCTCCAGCACGTGGGTGGGTCCTGCAGCCGGAGGGGCCCTCGGGGCTCGCTGAAGCAAGCAGTTCCCTCTAACAGGCCAAGGAAGAGGAATTTTTTTTTCCTTTTTTTTTTTTTTAAAAAAAGCTGTTTTAAAAAAGTGGCAGGTTTTCAGGTCTAGTGACACAGCATGTGCCGGCAAGAAGGAAGGAAAAGCTACAATAACGTCACAGCACAGCACGGTCATCGCGTGGCTTCTCGGCTGGCCCTCTGTCCAGCTGGCATGTCCATGCTCTTGGGTCCAAGTGGCAGCCGGGGTCTGAGGTTCGTGCTGACCCTCACGGCCAGTGGCTCAGGCCTGGACAGGCCGAAGCTGGCTGGAACCACCATGGGATTAACATGCCCTGGCCACTACTCTTTGACCCTGTGATTGTTACCCAGTAAAGGTGTGGGCGGCAGAGCCATGGCCGGCACGTGGGGAGGACATCGCTGGACAGGAGGAGGGGAGAGTGAGCGGGGCTGAGGCTAGTCCTAGTCATTTATGACCCTTGGGCTGTGTGGACGCCAGTCACTCGCGGCCCCTTGGGCTGCGCTGGCTACTTTCCGCCGGAACGTCCTGTGTCAAGGTCGTGGTGGACAGAGCGAGGGTCTGATGCCCCTGCAGCCAGGGCCTTCTCACCTCCTATGTCCCGTTCTTCAGTTCCCATTCCTGAAAAGTGAGCAGAGACCAGTGTCACAGAGCACAGACCCACCACGCAGGCCACCCTGTCCCTGCCACCTGGACCGAAAGGGGCAGAAGACCTTGTGGCATTCAGAGGCCAGGTTTCCAGAGCTGACCACCAGACCATCCTTCCGAGGGTGCAGAGGGTGGTGGTGTGCTAATCAGCGGACACTTGGACAGGTCACTCCCTGGGTCCTGGCTGCAAGACCAGTTCTGATCCATGACGGTCATGTGAATTTACAACTGGCTGTGGAGGCCCTGAGTCACTCTGAGCCGGGACCCACCTGATAGTAAAGTAAGTGAGTGTGTGTGTGTGTGTGCGCGCGCGCGCGCGCGTGTGTGTGTGATAGGATGGGGACCTTGGGTCACTCTGAGCCAGGACCCCCCAAAGGTAATGAGTGGCTGTGGGGGATACAATAGGAGCCCTGGGTCGCTAGGAGCCAGGACCCATCTGATGGTCGTGGGTGGGTGGGGGAGTCATGCACTGGGCACCCAGTGGAAGCTGTGGGTGGGAACACGGTGTGAAGGTTTGTAGTACGGGGCCCACAGCCCAGGGAGTGAGGTGCACAGACATGGGGTACAGGGCACACGGATCAGAGGGTGGGATTACAGATGTGGAGTTAAGGGGGTGACTGGATATGGGGTGATGAAAACATGAGGCTGGACACACAGAAGAGGGAGTGGGGTGGACAGATGTGGGGGCAGGGGGCACAGATGAGGGGGCACACAGACATGGGTGCAGAGGACACAGACCAGGGAGCAGGGTGCACAGACATGAGGCGCAGCGCTCACAGATGAGGGGGTGGGGCACATTGACGGAGGGTGCAGGACACATACATGAGGAGGCAATGAGCACAGACAAGGCAGGGGGGGCACAAAGATGCGAGGAGGAGGGAGCACAGCCGAGGGGGAGCACAGATGTAGGGGAGGGAGCACAGCTGAGGGGGGAGCACAGCTGAGGAGGGCGCACAGCTGAGGGGGGAGCACAGATATAGGGGGAGGGAGCACAGCTGAGGGGAAGGGTGCACAGCCGAGGGTTTGGGCACAAAGGAGTGAGGAGAGGGGCCCACAGCCAGGCGTGAGGAGCACAAACGTAGGGGAAGGGCACACAGTGAGGTGTGGGTGCACAGATGTGGGGTGCAGGGAACACAGCCAAGGGGTAGGGTGTGTAGACATGGGAGACATGGCACATAGACCAGAGGGTAGTGTGCACAGATGTGGGGTGTAGGACGCACAGACCAGGGAGAGGGGTGCAGAGATGCAGAATGCACAGACCAGGGAGCGGGGTGCACAGATATGGGTGTAGGGTGCACTGACGTGGGACGTAGGATGCACAGGTGAGGGGAAGGACACACAGCCGTAGGGTGGGGAGTGTGGACGTGGTCTGCCCTGACCTTGGCCTTGCGCAGCACGTGGCCCCGGCATGGGGAGTTGCCAGAGGTGGGTGGCCGTGTCCGCAGGACAGCAGCACTGTTGACCGGCACGGAGCCCTCGGTGTCACTCGTGTCACAGCTGGAGATGGGCGAGTTTTCCAGTGTCCGGTGCCTGAACCCAGGAGACTGTGGACAGAGAGTGAGAGTGAGTGCGTGAGAGGCATGGCCTCCTGGCCGGTCAAGGAGAGAGAGGGTCAGCACAGGAGGATGCTGGTCACAAGGACCACAGCCGTGGGCCTGAGCGTGGCAGGGGCCGTGAGGAGGGCCCAGGGCCAGCGGTTCGTTTGGTTGAACGTGGGGGTCACTGTGAGTTGGAGCTGGACACACGGCCACCATCACTGCGGGACCTACATCACCGTCCACACCCACTTCAGGTTTGTGCACGGCGCGCCTGAGGGCTGATGAGCTTCTCCGCAGACTCCTTCCACGGCCGTGCTAAACTGGACCCCTGTGCGGTCCATCAGGTGAGGTCAGGTGTAAAGTCGCCGTGTGTTGTGTGTGTTTTAAATAAAAGGTGTCTGTACTAATATAAAAAAGGTATTTGTGATGAATAAATCGTTAAGCATACAGAGTTCAGTCATTTGATTTCCAGCCTCATTTCTCTCACCAAGACCATGCATACTTGCCAAATACCATTCCTTTCTTGTTTCCAACATTTGCCTCCCAGTCACCAATTATCGTTAACACATCTTGATTACATGTTTGGTCCATTTAAAAAAATTGGTACAAATCTTCCATTTCCTCCTCTTAGGCTTTACTGTTGGCGAACGTATTTGAATAATAAAACTTCCTCAACAACACGCCTCTGGAAACTCTATGAACTTTGATAAATGTCGATAGTTACAGAAAGGCTTCAGGCCTTTTGTTCACAGGGTCGCTGTGAGCCCTGCTCCACTCGATGCCAACTACAACAGCAATAGTTGTAATAATAGGTTTTCCACATATGCAGATGAGTACTATCGCCCTCAACACTGTACTGGAGGAGAGACCTTGAAATTGGCTCTTTAACTGTGACTGCAACTCCATTCTATTTTCCATTCCTGGCACAGTAGATCCTGTCTGATTCCAAACGGCCAGCGTCAGTCCATCTCATCTCATCAAGGCCCACATCAATGTTCTTACATTCCATTTCCTTTTTGAAAACTTCTGGCTTTGCCGAGTTCACTCCACACATTCCACATTTCACTTAAAGGATGTTTGCAGCTGTTTAGCATCATTTTTATTGACTTCCAATCTGGGCTCAACATCTAATACTATAGCTACCCATGTCCCTCTGTAGTTCAAAGGGTTTTAAGAGGCCGGCTATTTAAGAAGTGGGCGGCCAATCTTTCCTCCTAGTCTGTCTGAATCTGGGAGCTCTCCTAACACTGGTCTCCCATGAGTGAGCCTTCTGGTATTTGACACACCAGTGATACAGCTTCCAGCATCACAGGGGCCCACAAGTTAAACCCAGCACAGCAAACTTACAAGTGCAAATCAGGCACCTGAACATGGACCCAGTCAGATCGCTGATGTGAGAGCCCCACATTAGGCTCGGGAGCCCAAGACCCTCAGGTCCAAAGGGGAGGCAGTGTTGAAACGGCTGTCTCCTGGCGCTGGTCTTTGCTGGGTCTGAGCCCAGAAGCCGTGACCAAGGACCAATGATGTTGAAACTTCTGTTTTCTGACGTGCTCACAGTCTGAGCCAGGAACTGGAAGACAACTACCTGGTCAACTGACTGGAAGAGGTCCGTATTCCCATTCCCAAGAAAAGTGATGCAACAGAACATGGAAGTTATCGAACAGTATCATTAATATCACATGCATGCAAAATACTGCTGAAGATCATCCAAAACCAGCTGGAGCAGCACCGGCGAACTGCCAGAAGTTCATGCAGGATTTAGAACGTCCTGGATTTCCTGAGCGACGCACAGCCTCTGAAAACCTGCTGCAGGGTCAGCCGTGCGCTGATCAGCCTCTCTGGCACATGATGTGATATTAGCTATATGTCTGGAAGCAGGAGGGGCATCCACTTCCTCAACAACCTGTCTCTGGAAACGATGAATTCTGATAAACGACGACAGTTATAGAAAGACTTCAGGCTTCTGATCTCCTGTTTATAGGGTCGCTGAGTCGTGCTCGACTTAATGGCAATCAGCAACAACAACAATATATACTATTAGCTATTTAGTCTCTGTTCTCATCATTTTCTAGTGCTGACAGCTGTGGAGTCCTTGGGTGGCATGAATATGGAAATCTTGGCTGTAACTGAAGTTCACACCTGTCCTGTGCACCTTGGAAGAAAGTCCTGGTGACCAACCCAGGTTGTCAGGTGCTTGGGTGAGCTCCCTCTGGCGGGGGACATCAGGGGCTGGAGTGTGGTGGGGAGGGGAGGTCCTGAGCGAAGTCCTGTCGGGTACTGACCACTGTGACAGTGGGAAACTCTGGGTTTCTCCCCTGGGCACCACTAGGAAGAGTCCAGTCCCCTGGGCTCCTCTCCATGGGCACCCACTGTACAGGTACACGGGCACCGGTCGGAATGGCTGCAGCACTTAGGTCAGGGGTTCTCTGATTTATTTACTTAAAAATAGACAAAGAGCTGTCTGTGTGGAAATCACATAATAAAGGGAAGGAGATAGCCTACAGACCCCACCCTCGTGGGGAAGGAGAGCAGGAAGCCCCCTTTCAGAGGACACAGGATGCAGGTGGGCATGGGCTCAGGAGCAGCGCCTGGTCCACAGGAGGGCCAGGGCCAGCCCTCCAGCTGGATGTCCAGTGCATGGCTATTGGCCATTCTATCTGAGAGTGTGGGAGCAGGCAGGGAATGACTGAGGGTGAGCTGTGGACTGGGAGGACTCAGACTTGGGGCGGGAGAGTGCATGGAGTGGACTGTGGGCTGGAGTGCCTGACTGGGAGCAGGCTGAGTGTGTTTTAGGGTCCCCAGTTGAGGCTGGGCAGTGGGTAAGGGGTGCAACTGACCAAAGACCTCCGACCTGACTTGGGGCAGAGGGTAGATCAGGGCTTGCCCATGGACAGGAGGTCCCCGACTGAGGGCAGGGTATAGATCAGAGTCAACCTGTGGGCTGGAGACCCTGACCTAACTTAGGGCAGGGGATAGGTCAGGGAGTACCTGAGGACTGGAGGTCCCTGCCTTAGAGTGGGGGATGGATCAGGACGTACCTGTGGACTGGAGGTCCCTGACCTGGGCTCGATGGCCAGCCCCAGCGTGATGCCCCCTGCCAGCGCCTTCTTCAGGCTCTCCTTGACCTCGGTCAGCTCCAGCTCCAGGTTGACACGCTCCGCCTCCTTCTGCTTACAGTCCTCCTCCAGCTTCTTGAGCTTGTCCTCCAGGGCCACCTGTGTCTTCTTGCCTGGGAGCAGGGAGAAGGTGCTGCAGCTGGGGCCACACAGCCCAGACACGAGACCACACACCAGGACATGCGGCCACATGCCGGGACACGGGGCCACACACCAGGACACGAGGCCACACACACTGGGACACGGGGCCACACACCGGGACACGAGGTCATACACACTGGGATACAGGACCACACACTGGGACACGGGGCCACACACTGGGACACAGGGCCACACATCGGAACACAGGACCACACAGCCCAGACACTGACATGAGACCACACACTGGGACAAGAGGCCACACACCGGGACACGGGGACACATAGCCCAGACACGAGACCACACACCAGGACATGCGGCCACACACCGGGACACAGGGCCACACACCAGGACATGGGGCCACACATTAGGACATGAGCCCCACACCGGAACACAGGACCACACAGCCCAGACACTGACACGAGACCACACACCGGGCCACGGGGCCACACACACATTGGACATGAGACCACACACCAAGACATGCGGCCACATGCCGGGACACGGGGACACATAGCCCAGACATGAGAACACACATCGGGCCACGAGGCCACACACCGGGACACAGGGCCACACACCAGGACACGGGGCCACACACCGGAACACAGGACCACACAGCCCAGACACTGACATGAGACCACACACTGGGACAAGGGGCCACACACCGGGACACATAGCCGAGATATGAGACCACACATTGGGCCACGAGGTCACACACCGGGACATGGGGCCACACACACTGGGACATGGGGCCACATACCGGGACACAAGGCTACACACTGGGACACAGGGCCACACATCAGGACATGAGCCACACACCGGAACACAGGACCACACAGCCCAGACACTGACATGAGACCACACACTGGGACAAGGGGCCACATACTGGGACATGAAGCCACACACCAGGTCATGTGGCCACATCCAGAGATAGGGCCACACCAGCACACAGCAAAGACACGGGGCTGCCTGGTCAGGTCACGGGGCCAGATGCCGAGACATAGGGTTACATGTAGTCGATGTCACATGGCCCAGACACAGGGCTATGTGGCCAGGACGGGGTCAGAGCTGATGTCACACAGCCAAGATACTGTGCTGCAGCTGGCGTCGCACACACAATCCAGAAAGCAACTCTGGAACATCCAGGCTGAAGGCCCCAGGCTGGGCCTTCTACAAAAGGACAGAGCCCAGCTCCTGTCCCCTCCCTTTGCTGTGGCCACAGAACTTGGACCATGAAAGGGCTCTCAGCTTTTATGAGGTTGTCCTTGGGGAAGGGGCCCTGAAAGTATCTGATCCCCACAGAATGTTGGCTGGGGATCTACGCCCTGATGTGCTTCACCCTTTTACAGCGGCACTGTCTCCTCCGTCACACGGGGACGCACGGCACAGCCAGTTCAGGTCTCCTAACCGAATGGCACAGGGGGTCAGCACCGGGCTGTTAACAGGAAGGTGAGTGGTCTGAACCCACCAGACACTCTGCAGGAGAAAGCCGAGGGGTCTGCTGCCACAGAGGCCCTTCTGCTCTGTCTTCCAGGGTCACTGAGTCAAGAGCCATCTCAAACAACTGCCAAGATCATTGGGGGCACAAGGAATGGTCACATGCGCAGCTCCTAATGCAGAGGTCAGCAGCTTGAACACACCCGAGTGCCCAGGCAGACAGGCCTGGTGATCCCCTTCCATAGAGGGGGCAGCCCTCCCGTACTCAGGTCACCCCGTGGGCAGGGCTGTGTGATTTGTCCAACTATTCCCGCTGCGCGAGGGATACAAGTTATACTCATTGTACTGGGTACAGTAACTGTGCTGTTGGTGTTGTGTACCGTAGAACTGACCCACAGATGACACTCCAGAGTTTTCAGTCACGTACAAGAAGCCTGCCCGTCCTTCTCCCGCTGAGGAGCCGGTGGCCTTAACTTGCATGCCTTTGGACTGAAGTGCAGCTTCTTACCACTAGGCCACCAGAGTTCCCTAGTAATTGTACTAGTTATGGTACTTGTACTGCTTAGAGTCACTGTGCTAGTTACACTAGCTGTGCTTGTTAAACTTGCCATGCCACTTATGCTATTAATAGTGATACTAACTGGGCTTCTTACATGAGCTGTGCTTATAGCAGTGCTGGTTGTACTCATCACCGTGGCTGTAATCATTGTTGTCGGTTGTACTCATTGTTGGCTGTACCATCATACTGGCTGTACCATCACTGCTGGCTGTTCTCATCATTGTTGGTTGTACTCATCACAATGGCTATACTCATCACAGTGACTGTAATCGTCACTGCTAGCTGTACCATCTTTTCTGGCTGTATTCATCACTGCTGGCTGTGCCATCATTGCTGGTTGTACTCATCACAGTCGCTGTTCTCATCACTGCTGGTGTACTCATCATACTGGCTGTACTTATCACTGTTGGCTGTACCATCATTGCTGGTTGTACTCACAGTGGCTGTTCTCATAGTTGCTGGTTGTACTCATCACAGTCGCTGTTCTCATCATTGCTGGTGTACTCATCATACTGGCTGTACCATCATTGCTGGTTGTACTCATCACCGTGGCTGTTCTCATAGTTGCTGGCTGTACTCATCATTGTTGGTTGTACTCATCACAATGGTTGTTCTCATCACAGTGACTGTACTTGTCACTGCTGGCTGTACCATCTTTTCTGGCTGTATTCATCACTGCTGGCTGTGCCATCATTGCTGGTTGTACTCATCACAGTTGCTGTTCTCATCATACTGGCTGTACTCATCACTGCTGGCTGTACCATCATTGCTGGTTGTACTCACAGTGGCTGTTCTCATAGTTGCTGGTTGTACTCACTGCTGCTGGTTGTACTCGTCATGCATTTATGCTGTTAACAGTTATCCTAGTGAAGCATCTTACATGAGCTGTGCTTGTACTAGTGGTGCTGGTTTCACTCTTTATGCTGCTTGTACTAATCACGATGATTGTATTTATCCTGCTCCTTGTACTCATTGTTGCTGAGTCACCTCATTTATCCCTGGGCCATGACGCACACCTGCTTTCATGGTTTTATCCGAAGTCTGAGCATCCTGCCGCTTCATCTTACCTGTAACCAGAGATGGGACCTCAAGGCTGTCCATTGTTGTTATGTGCCATCAAGTGGCCTGTAACCCTATGGACAAGATGTGAAGCCTGCCCTGTCCTGAGCCAGTCACACAGACTCTGACACACCTACCTTCATTGCCACCATTCCCATGTCAATCCATCTCACCTGGGGTCTTCCTCTCCTGCACTGTCCCTCCACCCTTCCGAGCATGATACCTTTCTCCAAGGATCGATCCTTCCTGGCCACATGCCTAACGTATGTGAGATGGAGCTTCAAAATCCTAGCCTCCAAGGAGAAATTTGGTTTCACACTCTCCAGGACAGACTTGTTTGTTTTCTTGGCAGACTATAGTATGTTCAAGACACTTCTCCAGCACTATAACTCAAAGACATCAAGCCACATTCTATCATCCTAAGTAATTGTCCAGCTCTCTGATGCACAGCAAGTAACTGGGAAGACCATGAAGATCAGGTGCAATACATCCCGAACAGCTGCACTTATGCTAAGCTGGTGAGTTCTCGCTAGGCTTGCCTTTCTAGCTTTCTAGAACTCAGTGTGCATGAGGCACAGAATGGCAGTTCATTTAGACGAAGCACGGTATGATGCTGTGGTCCCCCGTCAGCGTGTCTCATTTACTTGACCATGTATCTGATGGTTGTTTGTGTCCACTCTTACTGGAACTCCTTCTGGTCTAGTCTGCTGCAGCCAGACCCTTGCACTGCTTCTCTGGGTAAGTATTCCTTCACTGAGGAATGGAAACCAGTGTCCTCTCCTCCACCTCCAGGTCAGTTTTTTGGTCTCTGAGGGAGGACAGCAGCCTTCAATATGGATTACATCTCAGCATCAAGAAAGCAAAACTCCTCTCCACCAGACTAATAGGGAATCATGATAGAGGGAGAAAATCTGCACGTTGTCAACAGCATCATCCTACTTAGATTCTCAATCAACACCCCGGTACCAGCAGTCAGGAGATGAGACACATGTTACATCGGTAAAACCTGCTGTAAATGACCTCTCTCCGAAAGTGCTAAGGAACAATGATGTTAAAGTCTGAGGTGCCCCTAATTCAGGGCGTGGTCTTTCCCATCACTTGCTACGCATGTAACACTGTGACTAAGGATGTCAGGAGAACTGAAGCCTTGCAGCTGTGGCGTTGGTGAAGAGTCCTGAATATGCATGAACTAACACGGATATCTTGAAGAAGGTACAACCAGGGCACTCCTTAGACACGAGGATGATGAAGCTTTGTCTCACACTTTTCACATGTTGTTAGGAAAAGGACATGATGCTTGGAAAGGTGGAGGGTCAGTGAAAGAGAGGAGGGTCCTCGGGGAGGTGGCTCGACAGTGACAGCAGCAATGGGCTCAAGTATGTCAGAGATTATGGGGCGCAGGGATCCCATCTGTTGTTTATAAGGTTGCTTTGAGTCCCCGTTGACTCAATGGTACCTAAAAACAACAATACGTGAATAGGAACCTTGGGGAGCTTTCCCCCTGGGAAGTGAACCTCAGCAGTGACCTGGGTTCCAGCCACATGGCCATGGTCAGCACCGGAGGCTGAGACAGCCCTTCCTGCCAGCCCCCAGCAGCCCCCTGGGGAGTGAACCTCAGCAGCGACCTGGGTTCCAGCCACATGGCCATGGTCAGCACCGGAGGCTGAGACAGCCCTTCCTGCCAGCCCCCAGCAGCCCCCTGGGGAGTGAACCTCAGCAGCGACCTGGGTTCCAGCCACATGGCCATGGTCAGCACCGGAGGCTGAGACAGCCCTTCCTGCCAGCCCCCAGCAGCCCCCAGGAATGGTGGCATCTCCAGCCCCAGAGCGCGAGGCAGTGGCCAGGAAGACCCATGTGCCCACACCTGTGTTGGCGTCCATGGCCGCCCGCAGGTCCTTCCGCTCCTTCCGCAGCTGGGCCAGCCGGGCCCGCAGGGTCTCCTTCCGCCTCAGGAGCTCCTCCTCCTTGGTCTGGAGCCGCTTGGCGTCTGCCTCCACCCGGTTCTTGCCATATTTGTACTGGTCAGCATCTTTAAACAAAACAAAGGAATGGAAAAATTAGTCAGCTCCAACGCAGCGTTTGTAGGAGATCAGGGCCGCCCAAAGGGTCTTCGCACTGAGAGCTGTCCAGCAGGAGTCTGCCCACCTGCCTTCTGTGCGGCTGCTGCTGGCATCCAACAACCACCCTCCCCCGAGCAGCTCAAGCCTGCACCCTGGCTCCTCACCAGAAAGCGCCCATGCCCTGGTGACAGGTGCCCTGGACTCGGCTCTGACGCAGTGACCCACGTGCAGAGGAGCAGAGCTGCCCATCCTGTGCCGTGCTCACACCCACTGCCTTGTCTGAAGGCACCGTGACGGCCACTGTCAGTCCATCTGGTTGATAACCGGCCTCTTTCACCTGACCTTCTGCTTTGCCAAGTGTGACACCCTTCTTCAGGGACCAGCCCCTCCTGGTCGCACGTCTGAAGCACAGGACACGGAGTTCTCACATGAGGAGCACTCGGGCTGCCCCTCCTCCCAGACAGATGTGTTTGCTTTTCCGGCAGCCGTGGGACGTGCAGTACTGTTCACCACAGTTCCAGGGAAGCCGTTTCACTTGGCCTTTTCTTATTCATCGGCCAGACTTTGCACACACGGTCTGTTGCTGGTGGTGTCATCGAGCCAAATGGGACCCACAGTGACCTCGTGGACACCCGATCTGAACGTTGCTGGTCCTGAGCCAGCCTCACAGTCTTCGCCAGCCTCATGCCGTGCTACAGCCGCCATGCCCGTCCATCAGCGTGAGGGTCTTGTCCTTGGCGGGGTCACTGCTTTCCCAGGACAGTGTCGTCTTCCAAGGACCGGCCCCTCCTGAAACACACGCAGTGTACGTGGGCTGAAGTGTCATCCGGCCTCTACGGGGCACCTTGGCCGCCCTTCTCCCGAGATACAATGTCTGGGTTCCTTGGCAGTCTCTGAGTATTCTGCACTCTTTGGCGAAACGACGTAGCTCGGAGGAATGAATTCTCCTGCTGTCCTTATTGTTTGTCACACTTTCAGATGCACAGCAAATGACTGAACAGACCACGGCTCGGAGCAGGCCCCGTTTAGCCCTTAAACTGCATGTTAGCACTGGAGGTTCCTGACAGCAAATTCCCGCAGACAGAGCAGTAACACACCTCTTGATCTCTTCACTTCTGCTACCACGAGTGCCGCCTGTGGGGTCAGGGTCAGTCTTCTGAGCCAGTGGTGGGGATTTTTGTTTTCTTGATATTGAGATGTAATCCGCATGGAAGGCTGTGTGGTCTTTGATGTTCAGCTTCAAGTCCTCCTCACCTCCAGCAAGGTTGTGTCATCTGCATAAAGCAGACTGTTGATGAGTCTCCCTCCAATCCTGATGCCACTTTCTTCTTCACAGAGGCAACTTTGTTGTATGATTTGCTCAGTGTACAGATTGAACAGGTATAGACAAAGGATATAACCCTGACGCACACATTTTCCGATTTTAAACCATGCAGTGTCCCTTGTCCTGTTCAGGCAACAGCTTCTTGGTCTAGGTCTCGGTTTCACATGAGCGCCATCAAATGTCCTGGGAATCCCGGTCTTCCCAAGGTTCACCATGATTTGTTAAGATCCTACCGCCAAATGCCTTTGCACAGTCAATAAAACACAGACAGACTCCTTCCGGTATTGAATGCTTCAGCAGGATCCATCCGACATCAGCAGTGACATCCCTGGGCCACGGCCTCTTCTGAGATTGGATTTAATTTCTCACAGATCCAATAGCATTTTCTGCCTCTTCATCTGTCTCCTTTTAAATATTTTTCTTTCATATTGGTTTGCATACAAAACTTGCATACATTTTGTCTCACACTTTCATTCACATTGTGTTTCCTCCAATCATTTCCATCTATTGTTTTAGAAACGTAATCCCCATTCCGTTACGCCCACCAGTGTTCAGGTCCCACCGGAACATTTCCTGCCTTTTTTTTTTAATTTTTAATTTAGTTTGTTTATTTTTCATTTCAATGAACATCTACAGAGATTTTGGAATTCCATTCATTCATTGTTGCACCCTTCTCCCCGCACAAACCCCTCCCCCCTTCCCCCCCCTTTGCTCCTCTCCTTGAAAAGCAAAAGAAAAACTCCCTCATTGGTACACAATCCTCCCCGCACCTCCCCAAACTCCACCCCCTACCCCCAAATATAATCCACTCTGCAACCCTCATTGCATACTCCTACGATAAAAATAATAAAATAATGCCCTAAAATATAATACTTTTAGACTATTCTCTCCCCCATAGACTTCAATGCCGTAAACATATTTCATCCAGTTTTTCTCAGTCTTACCCCCACCCCAATGCCAGCCTCATTCTACAACAGTGGCACCATATAGCATTTGTCCCTTTGTGACTGAGATACCTCACTCAGCATAATGTCCTCCAGGGTCACCCATTTTGAATAACATTGCATGAGTTCCTTGTTTTTCAATGCAGCATAGTATTCCATTGTGTGAATATACCACAGCTTCTCTACCCATTCGTTTGTTGATGGGCATTTAGGTTGTTTCCAACTCCTTGCTATTGTAAACAAAGCTGCGATAAACATGGGTATACGTATATCTACTTGGATGTCATTTATGGTCTCTTTAGGGTATATTCATTTCCTGTCTTTTAAGAACTGCTCCAGCCCTGCCGAGCAATCTTCAGCACAGAGACTTTTCTTGCCCCGTCTTGTCTTGACATCCACTTGATCCCGCGCCAGGCAGCGGTGCTACAGGGGCGGAACCACCTTCTCCCATCAGGACACCTGTTCAGCCACCACCAGTCTGTAGGTGGAGATCTGCGTGCTGCGAGGTCAAGTTCAACAGAGCTTCCAGACCAACACAGAACAGGAGGCAAGGGCTGGCAACCTCCTCACAAAAACCAGCCGGTGGAAGCCCTGTGGGTCACGGCGTGCAGCGTGTGGCTGACAGAGGGGACGGAGAAGGACCGGGATGTCGGTCACGGCAATCCAGCAAGTGGCCGATGGTGGGGACGGAGCAGGACCGGGATGTCGGTCACGGCAGTCCAGCAAGTGGCCGATGGTGGGGACAGAGCAGGACCGGGATGTCAGTCATGTCAGTCCAGCGTGGGCTGGTGGCAGGGATCGGGACATGAGTCACAGCGGGCCAGCGTGTGGGTGATGGTGGGGACAGAGCAGGACTGGGACATGGGTCACAGCAGGCCAGCGTGTGGCCAGTGGTGGGGACAGAGCAGGACTGGACCGGGTATCCTTCCACTATGCGGGTTGGCACTCGTCCAGAACCAGTTGAACCACAGCCACAACAACAACGATAATCAGTCACGTTCCTCGATGGTGGTTTGCACGGAAGTTCACACACACTTTGTATCATCAGCTCCGCCCCCCACGCTGTCGGCTCATCTGTATAACACGCTCCTCTCCCTTCACCGTCTTGTCCACTCACTCTTCCATCTCTCCTCCCCAGCCCAGGTGACCACCGGGAATGTCCTTCCGCTGTGTAAACCTTCCGCCTCTTTTCACAGGTCTCTCCTTCTGTGACTGCCTGACGCAGCACAACTCCCAGGTCACCAGCAACATCAGTTCTACAGTCAACACCCAGCTGTGCCTTTGCTCTCATCTACGCCGTCCATCAGAGAGGGTTCACAGCGGAGGAGGACGGGGGCCTGCGTTCCCCTCACCTGGCATTCGCCATCTGCACACGGGGAGTGGGAAGTACCCCCCCCCCAGGCCCCAGCGGGAAGGCTTGGAAGCGGACCCCACACTTACTGGAGGGCGTTCGCTTCACGCTGGCCGAGGGGTCAGCCTTCTTCTGCGGACAGCTCAGGGTCTTCCCTTTCCCTGTGACCCCATTGGACGTGGTGGGGGGCTTCTTCCCCTTGAACTGTGGGAACAGGCGGGAGAAAGTGAGAAGTAGAAAACACGGGGTGTCTCTTTACTGTCTTTTTACAGTAAACTGTCTGGTCTCACCAAAACAGGAAAATAATCAAACCAAGAGTCCAGTGCAGTTCTGTACAAAACCAATTTGGTTTCCAACATCTGAGGGGCGGGATGTTCCTGGAAGAGCTGAGAACATTCTAGAAACCAGACTCAGAGCAGGCGAGGGTATCCCAGAGGAGAGGCCGATAGCGGAAGTGACAGATCAGGAAGGTGGCATGTTGAAGTGATAGATCAGGAAGGTGCAGGAGGACACCGAGACGTGTGTGGGCCGGGCGGCTGGGCGCAGCGCTCTCACGCCGGTACTGGTCCCCAACGGCACTCCAGCAGGTCCCTATCACACTGACCAAGATGCAGGCCTGTCCTTCCTGTGCCACCGTGGCTGGGGCCCAGCAGCGGACAGTTATCCTTCAGGCAGAACTTGGGACCCTAACTCTCCTCTAAGGGACAGGAGCACCTGCTCTGTGCCCATCACACACTACGTGGTACAGGAGCGACCCCGTTTAAAGGTCACAGAGCAGCCACTGCTGGGAGTCACAATTCTCATGCATAGACCCAAGCCACCACCATCAGCTCTGCGTCACAGCAGGTGGACGGGACAGGAGGACTGCCCAGCGGGGCTGTAGACAGGAGGACAGAGGGGCTGTGGACGGGACAGGAGGACTGCCCAGCGGGGCTGTGGACAGGAGGACAGAGGGGCTGTGGACGGGACAGGAGGACTGCCCAGCGGGGTTGTGGACAGGAGGACAGAGGGGCTGTGGACGGGACAGGAGGACTGCCCAGCGGGGCTGTGGACAGGAGGACAGAGGGGCTGTGGATGGGACAGGAGGACTGCCCAGGGGGCTGTGGATGGGACAGGAGAACAGAGGGGCTGTGGACCGGACAGGAGGTCTGCCCAGCAGGGCCATCAACAGCTAGGATGGCCTCGTTTCCCTGCAGACCCGACAGTGTGTTTGAACCACTGACCTGGCTTGACCCCAGAGCCAACAGGCTTCATATATTCATCATAAAGAGGCTTTGACATAGTTGAGAATATTCTGAGAAGATGCATTATACCTGCCCTTTTATAAAAAGCTTTTGCCTTTAGGCTGTGATAACTGACAACGTGCGTGGGGAATTTTCCAGAAGGGAAGCACTGACGCATGGGAAAACTGCTAAGCCGGGTGAGCCTGGCCGCTCGCGCTTGACCACATGTGCCAGCCACTCAGGCTCAGAGGAAAGCATGCTCGCCCTTCAGCAGCCCCCTGCGGCGGCCTGGTGACCGGGGGTCACACAGAACTCCAGAGGACAATGGCCAATGCCCACAACACAACAGAACATTCCAGAATGAGATGCCATACCTGGGGGCTGAGCCCAAGAGCCGCCCTCCCCAGAGAAGAGGTGTTAGTGAGAAGCAGGGGGTTGGCGAGGCCAGGCGAGGCGGGGTGCCGGGGGTGGTTAGAAGCCAGTCTGTCAGGAGAACCCCGAGAAGCCCTTCTCTCAGCAGGCGGGTAGCGAGCAAAGATTTTCGGGGACGGCAAGTTATCATAGAGGCCCGCGTTATCGTACAGCGTCTCTTCTCTGCGGGGGGCAGGGAGGCCGTCTTCGGGGTCCCACTGAAACACACAGAGCTGTGGTGTTAGTGACGCAGCTCAGGGGACCGAGCAGAGCAGACATGCAGGGTCAGCGGTTAGAGCCAGAGGTGAGCGTCCACTGCTCACCTGACACGCCACACTCACCCACCGACACCCCAAATCCACACTCTCCCGCCAACATTCAACCTGCCTACTGGACACTCATTCACGAACCCCCCTCATACTTGCCAGCTCACACTCCACGCTCATCTGTGTATGCCTTCCACACTCACCCGCTACACCCCGCGTACCCACTGACACCCCACACCCTCATCACCGACACCCCACACCCTCGTCACCTACACTCCACGTACCACGTACACCCCACACCCTCGTCACCTACACCCCACGTACCCAACTACACCCCACACCCTCGTCACCGACACCCCACACCCTCGTCACCTACACCCCACGTACCACCTACACCCCACACCCTCGTCACCTACACCCCGCATATCCACCGACACCCCACACCCTTGTCACCTACACCCCGTGTATCCACCGACACCCCACACCCTCGTCACCGACACCCCACGTACCACCTACACCCCACACCCTCGTCACCTACACCCCGCGTATCCACCGACACCCCACACCCTCGTCACCGACACCCCACGTACCCACCTACACCCCACACCCTCGTCACCTACACCCCGCGTACCCACCGACTCCCCACACCCTCGTCACCTACACCCCACATACCACCTACACCCCACACCCTCGTCACCTACATCCCACGTACCCACCGACTCCCCACACCCTCGTCACCTACATCCCACGTACCCACCGACTCCCCACACTTGCCCACCTATACCTTACACTCATCCATGAACACCCCCCACACCGTCCCACCTACACCTCCCACACTCACCTCCAAACACCCGACACATTCTTCTGCCTACACCCCACATACTCTCCTTTCTATAACTCACACCCATGTTTTTCTCAAGGCCCTGGTGGTGCAATGGTTAAGTGCTTGGCTTCTAACTTAAAGGCCGGTGGTTCAAACCCACCCACAAGTTCCCAAGAGGATTTACAGTTGTCTGCTTGGCCCAGGAGGGTCGGCATGATTCAGAACGGGCTCGGTGACTCATGGTCTGCAGGAGTGACAATCTATGCATGTGAACACCAGGCCTTCCTGCAGTGCTCCTGGTCTGGACCACCTGAGGGTCAGCACCGAGTGCTGGTGCCATCAGGGTCTAAGGCCAGGGTGCCCTGAGGTCAAGGTTACTGGGGGGGGGCGACTTCAGAGATGGGGGGAAAGGCTCATTCCTCAAATCATTCCAGGTGCCACAGGTACAAGGACTTTGTTTTTGCTTTGCTTTTGAAAGCAGAAAAGAATTACCAATTCGGCATTACGTCCTGGGAGAATCTGAAAGGGTGGCAACTTGGCAGTTGTCACATGACAGAACATTCTAGAATTCTGAAATTGAGTTTGAGAGATGCTCTCGCTAGAGACGAGCTTTTAGGAGAACAGACTGGGAGCAGAATGGGGGTGACACACTGGGCCTGGACACTGCAATCCAGGGCCCCGGCTGAGGGAACAGAGGGCAGAGCCTGAGTGTCAGCTGACAGTGGGCTTCCGGTCCTCCAGCCAAGTTGAGCTCCGGGTGTCAGTGGACATGAGTCCCTGACCCCGAGCCAGGCTGAGCCATGCGTGTCCTGGGACATCAGAGCCCCCGTCTCCCAGCTGAGCTAAACCCTAGTTGTCCTGAGACAGAGCTGTTTCTGTTCTGAGCATGATCTCACGTTCCTGAAGACCCACTGCGTCACTCCTCACAGTGACCATGCGTATGTGTGGACACCGAGGCAGAGTGGTCACGTGGGGCTAGGAGGAGACCAAGGCGGCTGAGTCCCTAACAGTAAAGGCCCCTACAGGGGCTGGACATAGCCCCAGCACTCATGCCCACTCGTGTCCTCTGCTCTCCTTCTACACAAGTGGGGACTCCGCCTGTCTCCTCTCCACCACCAGAGTGTCACGTGGTCAGCATTCTTGTGTCTTTTGAAATAATCCTGACTCAGGGCAGCCCCGCTGGCAGAGACCAGGGCTCCAGGGCGTCCAGGGTGCCATGGTGTTCCGGGCCTGGCTTTCTGGGAGTGGACAGCCAGGCCTTTCTTCCAGGGCACTTCATGGAGGACTGGACCCTGTGACCTTCTGGGAGTCATCATCTGCATCCCCTGATCTCCGCCCACATGGGCCTCGTCATAAAGGACTGAAATCGCTCCACACTGCTTCACGGGACAGAGAGTTCAAGCCCCGCAGGCTGAAGGGTAAAAGTCCAAACAAACTGCCTTTTCAAAAAAAGTAACTGTGAGCGGCTACATTCTGCCGCCTCACCCTATTTTTATACCCTGGCAGAGTTCCTTTCCGCCAGACTGTAATTAGAGGCTTTGTGATAAAAATAGGAAAGCTCTCACATCCCACGGCAGGAGTGTTTTCATGTCTCTGCTGTCACTGCCACGTGTCTGTCCTGGGGGCTGTCAGGCCAGGCCCACCCACGACCTAAAAATAAAGGTCCACATAGACACAGAGACAAGAGTCCGTCCGGCGGTGACAGCCCCCTCTCAGGCTTGGGGTTGTTCAAGCTGTCTAGACCAGAGTCAAAGCTCCCTAAAATACCAAAGATGAGGTCACAGGAAACAGGGAGAAAGTCCTGGGCCGTGCAGAAGGTTCTAGATTTCAGATGTGCACTCCTGCGTGTCTCACTGCCCAGCCTCCAGGACGAGGGTCTTGTGCTCATGCACTCAGTGAGGTCCCCTCATCCTCCGTGTCCAGCTGTGGGACCCCAGTTCACTGCACACAATCAGCCCAGCCTCACCGCGGACCACCTGCCAGGCTCGGGAGGTGCACAGGGGTGGGGACATGCCAGCGGCCAGGCATTCATTCACAGATGTCCCAGAACGCATGCCGGTCGGGCGAGCTGTGGTTCTCTGCATCCAGGGCCTGTCCAGTGTGGGGCCCGAGGTGATCATAACCACAGACATGAGCAGATAAACCCAGCATGAACCCACGAGGACCCTGAGCCCAGGTGGGTGTCTTCCTGGGTGGGGTCTGTGACATCTTTATCTCATGGGAGATGCAGGGAGAGGGGACCTCAGTGCCCTAGGATAGAATCAGGAGTGCAGTGTGTCCACTTGGACCGAGTCCCTGCTGCTTGGCACAGAGAAGGCCTGGACACACTGCAGTCACCCAGGAAGGCTGGCCTATAGATGCCGAGGGGACACGGCCCTTCCTCCATCATTTTCATATACACAGAGAGGGTGCCTTCCCCGAGAGCTGGCCCCTGAATTTGCACATCCAGCCTCCTGAGATGGGAGGCCATCGATGTGTCCCTGCTGTTCCAGTGTCCCCTGGGGCCTCTGCCGTGGGCAGCACGAGGGATCCACGAGCCCTCAGTACAGGCAAATGGTCAGGGGGCCAGGGGCCTCAGCGCTGAGGGGAACCCTTGTCATGAGGGTGGGAAGCAGGGCTCTGTGGAGTGAGGGGACAGTCCCACCCAGGTGGAATCTGCACCCGCCCGCCCTGGGTCGCTCACCGAGCCGTTGATGCAGGGGACGTCGTCGTAATGCAGGGCCGCGCCGCTGGGGTGCGCGTAGCCGTTGGAGGTGCTCCCAAGGTAGGGGTTGACGGAGACCCCGCGCCGGCTCATGAAGCTGAAAGATACCCAGTTACAGCTGTCACCCGTCTGAGCCCAACCTGGCTCCCAGCCAGTTAGGATGGTAGACAGGGGCCAGGGAAGGAGGACCGAGCTGTGTCCCAACAGGGCCGTGGCTGCAAGATTAGGGGTCCACCTGCCTCAGCCCCTCCTCGGGCCATGGAAGAGGGTTCTTCACAGGAGGCAGTTGTTCCCCGTGTATGTGCGTTTGTGCTGGCATGCAGATGTGCACGTGTGTGCATCGGTGTGTGCACATCTGTGTGGATGTGTGCAGGGTGTATGCGTCTGTGCCGGCATGCAGGTGTACACATGTGTGCATTGGCGTGTGTGCACATCTGCATGGATGTGTGAAGGGTGTGTGCATCTGTGTTGGCATGCAGGTGTGCACATGTGTGCATCAGTGTGTGTGCACATGTACATGTGTGGGTTCCCAGCCTGTAACCCATATCTGGAGAGGTTAGGTTTGGGGCCCCCTTCCCAGCGTGACCATGTTGACGTAAGTCAGTGTCAGCAAGGAGAATCTGGTTCCCTGACTGGGGCCCTGCTCACAGGTGCAAGGTCAGGGCACTCACCCCCATTTGGGGGACACAGCTGACCCCACATCAACGCACAGCCGCTGGGATCAGTAACAACAAGTTTAAGCAAAGTGACCCAGCACTGGTGGCCACAGGCCCGTAACAGACGTCCTGTCCTTCAGAGCCCTTCATAGGCCTAGGCCATCTGTGCTTTTGTGAGTAGCTTGGGGGGCTCACGGACATGTTCATGTGTTTGTGAATTGCCTGCTGCTCCCCTCCACCCCAGAGGTAGGGTTCAGCAGCTGTGACAGAGGCCACATGGCCACAGAGCCAGCGTCTTCACTGCCTGTCCCTACAGGGATATGGACTCTACAGGAACATCAGACCAGCAAAGACCAAGCGGGCTATCCACTCACAAGGCTGGAGACCTCCAGAAGAAGAATGTGGGGTTCCACCTCTCCCCACACCATGCCCCCCACTGCTCTCTCGCGGGTCAAGGCTGGTGGGGCTGAGACTCTAAATAGGTTTTAGCAGACCTTCCAGACTAAGACAAGGAAGAAAATTTTGGTGACTGACTTCCAAATATCAGCCCCTGGGGTTCACAGTCCTGGACAAGTGCAGACCGGACAGTGTGTCCTGTGTCCACACCTGTCCCTGGACTGGGCAGTGTGTCCTGTGCTCACAGCCGGTCCTGGGGACAGTGTGGACCAGGAGTCACAGTGAGTCCACTGACTGGACAGCTGCCGGTGGTCACTGGGCCTCAGCTGTCCCCTGGACGCCCTCCAGTCAAGTCCAGTTCCTCACAGGCTGGCCGTGATGGCACCATCTCTGCCCCAGACCCACCCAATCTGTCGAGCCCCCAGCAGGGCCCGTCTCAGCGGCACCTAACAATGATGGGTGGAGGGGCCATGTCACCAAATTCATCCCCCCACGCGTCAGGCCCTCCCGTGTTTACAGCTCTGCCCCCCGCCCCCATGTTGCTTTATGAAGATGCCCTGCACCACTACCCAGCATAAACCAGCCCCTCCCAGTCTCTTTCTTCCTGTCATTAAACAAGGTACGATCTAGTCCATTTCCACCCAGGACTCCCCCAGGTGTAGCAGAGCTGAGCTCACAGGACGCCCCCAGGTGTGGAAGAGCTGAGCTACTTAGGGTCTGACAGGACTCCCCCAGGTGTGGGAAAGCTAAGCTCACAGGACGCCCCAGGTGTGGCTCTCGCAGGCTGGTTTCCCAGGAGTCCATTGCCAAGGCTTTCTCCCAAGGCACCTGTGTGGCCCCAGCCTCGTCCTCTGTCTGCAGCTGCCCTCACTAATTCTCCCACCACTCGGGAGTCCTGCTGCTGCAGTAATTAACCGCCAAACACCTCACAGTCTTTGATCGACCCTTCAACCCTTCACCACGTAGGGAGACTGCCCAGCCATTAGTTCTCAGAGCCGCTGGAGGGTTCAAACCACCGACCTTTCCCGGAGAGCCGCACACACCTTGCTCACGGCATCAGGGCTCCTCTCCCTCCTGTGGTGACCAGACACTGTCCTCACTGTGCACCGTCAGGTCGGCCCCATTCGCAGCTGAGCCTCTGGGCTTTTCAGACGCTGTCAGGTGCGTGGCAAGGCCCTCGGGGCTGGCAGTGTGAGCATCCCTGACTCAGCCTCCGTTCTCAGCACCGCTGGGGACCAGGACCAGCAACAAGGGCGTCTACTGCCCTCTGCCGGGAGGACGCGGACACGCACGCCTCACCCCCCCATGGAACCCCGACAGCCCTTCAGTTCTAAACATTCCCCCCCTTCTTCTCCTTTCTTTCTTCCCTTTTATCCTTGAACTTTTCATGGTGCGCTCACCCTGCTGCCTGTTACCTCTTGTGCCTCTCTCTGTGTCTTCCCTTTGTGTGAAAGGGGCAAAGCAAATGGTTTTCCAGTCAACAAGTGAAGCATTTGTTTCCTGGTCTGGTGGCCGTCCTCCGGTGTGCTTCCCCGCCTTCCCTGTCTCCAGCCATCCTGCTGCCTCCCCTTCCCGCCTGCGGGACTCTCCTCCTGAACAGACGCTACGCTCTGGATCAAGTGGCTGGCAGCTCAAGGAGTGTGGTCCCCCGGGGTCCTTGCCAATCTTCCTTTGCTTTTTGAATATTGTTTCTTCCTTCTTTCCTGTGACACCAATCCACCAGCCACTCCAGGAGATGGGTGCACAATCCCCGGGTCATTCGCAGACGTGGCGACGCCGTGGAGGTTCTGCTGAGCCAGGTCCCACTCAGTAGCAGTAAGTGAATGACATCAACGCACTGACACAGGAAGTACGTAAAAGTACCAGGTCCGACTTTGGTTCCTTGTTTGCAAACCCTTCTCCCATCAGTCCTAGGTTAGGCCCTGGATGGCCGTGCAAGTTTGTTTCCTGCAGCAGTGAGCATAATAAATCATTTACCCAGTGAGCATGAAAGCTCTACCAAGTGAATTTTAAGCAATTGGCACAGATTGGCTAGTAACTAGGAGGAGGGCTTTTAAAGGGAAATATCCAAGATTGAGAGGGGCTTCGTTTGTTGGGTTTTGGGGTGGTTTTTGGTTTTGTTTTTTTACTATTTGCTGTAGATATTGAGAAGGTTGGATTGCCCTCTTCATGTTTACTCTCCTTCCAAATAGTTGTATCCAAAAGAGCTGTTCATCCCCATTTCCCTCCTCTGCCCTCCTGTTAAAGCAGAAACAGGGATTGATTTATGTCCAGCTCCTGAATACATGTAAAATTTGTACAAAAATATCTTCTACGAAAATGATTTGTAATCTGTAGACTTAATACCTGGGAGATAAATCTTGAAATGTAAAATCCCCTTCCTTTGGGTTGTGGGTTTTTTGTTTTCTCCAAATAAATCTGATCTTTAAAGTTCAAAAACAAAAAAAGTACCAGGTCCGAATGGTCAGAATAATGCTGTTTCGTACAAAGCTATTTCTTAAAGTTCAAATGAGCACGCTGTCTTGACAAAAACATATTCTCTTGTTTATCGTGGATTGAAAATCAATACAGAAGAAAGTCATAGAAGCAAACACTGCTTTAATAATATTTTAAAAGGAGAAGAGTTCAGCATCCTCTTAGCCCAGAAGGGCAGTTCTGAGTGGCCTCCTTCAGAAATGATCTATATTCATGTGTCATCAAGTCAGAATGTACCCACGGCTGGTATGAACTGCACAGGGTAGGACTCCCCACCTTTCTCTGCAGAGCAGCGTGTAGATTAGAAGCCAGTGCCTTTGGGTTGGCAGCCCAGCTCCTTACCACTGAGCCCCAGCACTCCTGACAAGCTTAGATCCTTAAACTGTTTGCCCCCACCATGCAGTCCACAGCTGGACGTTACACCCTTCATTAACACAAGACCTTCTGGTCTTGCATTGAAGACAACCTTCTTGCGGAATAAGAAGGAGCACTGGTCACTGTCCCAAACATTAACTGGACTGCGGGCTTTGCTCTGAATCTTTCTTGGCCTCACTTTCTGTTCCCTCTTCTGTGCCTTTTCCGCTGAAGGATTCGGCGTCCTGACCGGGAAGGTCAGCATTCAGCAAGTCCGGACACCCAGGAACATCACCCATGAGCAGCCCTCCAGGAGTCCAGGTGCCACATGAGCTTGTGACCTGAAAGATGCCCTCCTGAAAGAAGATGACCTGTGGGCCAAGTCCTGTGATGACAAGAGCAGCGGGGACAGAAGCCGTCCATCTCAGAGGCCCCTGGGCAGCCTGCTAACTGGAATAATCTCTGCTCTCCGAGGACGGCCCTATCCCTCCCTCCTAACCATGTAAATAAACACGAGCTGCTCTCTCCACACCTGACCCTGGCCTGTGACGACCCCACAGAGTCTGCCCTGGGGGAGACAGATTCGGGAAGGCTTGGCCCCCTGTGTGCTGACATAGATCATAAACCCGCTTCCCCCTCCACGCCTCTCAGGATTGGTCTGTCCGGCCCAGAACCTCTGTCCAGTAGCATCAACATTCATTTCACACTTAAAAGTTCATAAAAGTACATGCAGGGAAAACACAGCTGAGGAAAGAGGAAACCAGGGCAAGACATGCCAACGTTTAAAAACGCAGGTCGTCTGATTTCAGATGCACTGGGTCTGCTGTGGGGCTGTCTTTACAGAGCCTGGGGAAGCTGGATACCGCACGAGGTGGGTACCTGCCAGATACGTAATCTAAAATGTTCCCGGAAAAGAGCCACCAAGAAGCCTGCACCTGGTCAAAGGCAGGAAGCTGGCGAGAAGGGAAAGGAGGTCCACCCAGCACGTGTCAGGCCCTGGAGTCGCTGCGCACTGCAGGATCCGAGTGTGCCGAGCAGTGTGGCATCAGGTCGACCACTACACCTCCTCCAGGGAGTGAGAAGGTGGGCAGCAGGTCCTCCCGGCAGACTCATCCCCGGACGAGTCCTCCTCCCCCTGCACCCTCTACTCTCTGCTGCGTCCGACAGTTCTTGGAATGGACACAGAACTCACAGACCTGCCTCACAACTACAGGGC